ATACAGATACTCGGCCTAAATGCTTTGGGCCATGATGCAATGCTCCAACCGCAGCTCCTTGCCCTCAGGTGGCTATGCCATTGCCGCTGCTGCTTTTCACTTTCCGCCAATTGGCCAAACAAAAGTCACTCAGTCCAGGCAAAGAGTCAGTCATTTTTAGTGACTTGGCTTTGGCTTTTGTTGATTTCTAACGAAAATAACTGCAACTGTCATTTTCAGCGGCGACCTGCTGGGCCTTGCCTTCTTCGATACGAGAAAAACTTTTGGAAAAACCAACGAAAAACCATTTTTCGCTGCCTGTCGAGAGGCAAAATGTCAATTTGGCGTTGTTTACTTTTTTGGTTACAAAAATAACAAAAAAAAAGTCTTTAATTTCAGCTTGAGTTGCATTCGTTGCGCCTTCAATTGCCGCAATTTAGCTGGCAACACCCCCGCCCACCGCTCACCGTCCCCCTCGCTCTTAAGTTAACCCATGAAAGCCCGCTTAAGGCGCGCCATTGAGTGTTAATTAAGCATTTATTCAGGCATCGGGTGTCAAAGTTTGGCTCTAAAGAGCCCAAAATTAATGCCAGCTTGTGTCGATTTTCCTTTGTTATCAATTGAAAATTTATTTTCGATTTTCGGTTTCGATTTCGTTTTCGATTTTCGGTCACAAAAGTTAAAGTCCAAGGCGCAACTTCATCGATCATTGTCTGTGGCATTGTCAAGAAAAATACACAAAAAAAAAAATAAATAAAAGCCAAGAAAAATGCCAGAGGCCTTCCTTGATGACTTGAGAGACAGCTCTCGGACTTAGATGAATCATTTGCCACCTTCTCCTCGGTCAGGCCCCATTCCCCGGTATCACAAGCATTTTTAATTGGTCAATAAAAAGCGGCACGTTGGCTATAATAACAGAGGAAATGCCAGAATTACCGCATTTAATTTGCATATTTCGCTTTGGAAATTTGACAGTTAAATGTGGGCTTATTGGTGTGTAAAATTTCAAATTAAAGTCAAATCAACGCGAACCTGAATGGAAATGTTGTTCAAATTACTTAATAAGTTTTTTTTTTTGGGGGGAACTATTTCGTGGATTTAATTTCAATTTTCTCCTGGGGGGAGGATGGCTTATAAAATTTAATCATTGTGTTTGGGAGGAAGAGTGAGTGAAGGAAACTAATCCAGCGGGATTATTATTGAATGACAATAGCTTTCATTTGGGCAGAATAAAATATTCAAATTAAATTTACATATTTCAGAAGGAATTTGAGTTGGCAATTTGAGTTGTTGAAGTTATTCAAATATTTCTATATTTATTTTAATGTTTAATTAATAAAGTATTAATATTATAAAATATTATTTATTAAAGAATTGTTGGTTTTTTATAAGATAAAGATTTCTTTAAATTTTTAAACATATTTGTCATTATAAATCTTAAACAAAAGACGATTAATAAGCTTATTAAAAGTTTTGAGAACATTTTCAAAATGAAATAAATTATTGTTTAAAAAGAAATTTAATGGCTTTTCTCTTCTCAGCTTTCTAAAAGTTCTCCTTGCTTTTAATTATTTAATAATTTGTTAATAATTTCTTTTCAGAATAATTTCTATAGCCTCATTAGTAATATCCTCTAAACTTTTTCTTTGGTAGCCAAGTTTTAATTGAAGTTTTGACACCAAGTAGCCACTCAATCGTTCGCTTAAAGTGCGCTAACCTTAATCGGCGTAGGAAGTGCAACGGTAAACATTATCAAGTAGCACCCACTCTGGGGGGCTGGTATGAGGGCTAAGGGGGTGGTGCTGCTGCTGCGTGAGCCAGGAGACCGCGACGACGACAAGCTGATAAGCATCGCCCAGTACAATGGCACACACTCTTCTTCTAGACGGCTGCTTCCCTATTTCTATTTAATACACATAAAAAATTAAGGTATTTTTCTTAATAAATGTATTTATAAATTTGTAGAGTTTAGAAATTTTTTAAAATAATTTAAAGTGGGTTATGGGTGAAATGTTTTGCAAAAAGGTTAAATTAAAAATAGTTCTTGCCTAAAAACTTCAGTTAAAAAGCACATAAAAATCTTTGGAATTTATTTTTCGATACAAAAATATTTTAAAAAGGTTTAAAATGAAGAATAAATTCCAGTTTTGCAAGGGAAAATATTTAAACATTTATTTTAAACTTAAATATATTAAATATAACTTCCAAAATTAAATAAAAATTTCCTAATTAAGTCAAAAAAATCCGCCACATTCTTTCTTTATCTGCAGCCTCTTGCTGCTTAATGTTGCTGCTGCTGCAGTTACTGTTGCCTGTGCTGCAGGTTGCAGGTTGCTGCAGTCAATGTGCCAGTTAGGCACTCAACTATGCGTGTCTGTGTCTTTGTGTGCGCAGGCTGCAACACTTTCAAACAACTTTATCAAGCCAGAATCTCAGCTCAGACTGAATGACTGACTGACTGACTGACTGACTGGTTGGCTGACTGAATGACTGACGTGGTCTTGATTGAAATGCGACGAGAGACCGAGTGGGTGGCTCAGCTGGGCAGATGGAAAATTGTAAAACGTGGAAAACGTGGAAAAAATCCAGCTCCCAGGTCGGTGCGTATGTATTAATTAGTGTCAAGTGTTGTCGCTTTGAGTTACGCGCCCAGGGGACTGCCAACGTCAGCGATAACACAAAGCGATAGCAACAGCCACTTGTTTGCCCAGCTACCGATTTTTCCCCCTTAGAGGTCTCCCCTCCCCCCCCTGGAGAGCTCCATATCCACATCCAACATCCATATACCCCCTTCGATATAATCGATGATGACACGTTTCGCCTTTTGCCCATGCGCAAGAGTCTCCAGGAACTCCAGATGGAAACTGCAGACCAGATGGCTTGCAGCAAATTGCAGGCTAGAAAAATTGACCAGGGCACTGAGAAAAATTATTTTTAAGAGAAATAAATCTGGATTTATGTATAAAATATATTTAATTATATGATTTTCAAGTATTTAAACAGGTAAAAAATGGTTTTTGTGGTAAAACCAAATTTATTCTTTAAGAAAAGAATTTTTTAAAGAATTTATCTTATTTTTCTGAGAGTTTACTTTGTTATTTCTTATATGAAAATATTTTAGAAAAAGTTGTTTATATTATTAAAAGGCCTTCTATTTATTTCTGATATTTTACTGTATTATTTCTTTTATAAAAAATATTTTATAAACAGTTGTATATATTCTTAAAGACTTTCTTCTTTATTTTCTGAAAGTTTACTAATATTATTTTAATATTTTAGAAAAAATTCTTGATATTCTTAAAGACTTTCCCATAATTTTTAGATTATCTAATTTATTATTTCTTGTATAAAAATATTTTTTAGATTTTTTTCACCAATTTTCTTTAACAAATATTATAAACAAACTCCACTTAAATCTTCAATTTTACTTCAAGAATCACTTATTTTTTTTTTCAGTGCCCTGTGTGTAAATTTATAAACACACTCTTCTCATGGATATATACTGTAATATTTTTTGCGCATCCAATTACATTTATGTGCTCGTAAACTAAAAATTCAGCACAGCTTGCAAACGGGTTGCTTCACAATAATTATAAGCCCAAGAGGTTGGCTTCCCTACAGTAGAACTAAGGCAAAGATTCTGTGGTGTGTGATGTTCGGTGGGAGAGGCCTTTTAGACTGGAGTTAGACTGTCATGGTTTATATTTTATATACTTGCTGATTTATGGATGGGAAAAATATAGTAAAAATCTTAAATGAAAACCGCTTCCGGAGTGGAAAAACTAATTTAAAATTAAGAGAGTTTCTTTGGCATCTTCACTACTTTCTTTTCCCAAGTTTTCCTTAGAAAATCTTGGCCAAATAAAACTTGGCAGCCCACATACGACTGCGAAAAGCTCTTAAACTATAACTACGCCCCGAATGCCAAACAGTCGTGGCCAGAAAACCACATTAACCGCAATGGATATTGCCAGGCGGGCATTGATTGGATTTTCATTTTCAGCTTACCAAAAATGGTGAAGAGCCCACATATAGATAGTTATATATATATACATATATATATTTATATTAACGTGGCGGTGTGAAAATTGTTTTGGCCGCCGGCTCTGCAGAGATTCAGAATTATGTGGCACTTTCATATGGCCATAACGAAGCATGTGAATGCCAAAGCCAATTGCAGTTGAAGTGTTTTTATTTTCTAGTTCACGAGCAAAGTGGAAGCCAAGGCTGCTGCCCCGGACCAGTGGCAATTAAAATTCTTCGGGCCTTAATGTCCGATATCCGAGGCATGAAATTAAAACATGTTTCCAGCAATCTTGTGCCCGCACCCTTTTTATTAAATACTGTTTAGGGACCGACGACTGTCCGTATGTCAGTTTAATAATCAATTATGTTTTGTACGTGTTGTCATTGACCTTCAATCTTGGTTGGGAGATCTCTTTCGGCCACATCCACACCCGGGCCTAATAGATCAGGCAATTACCCGATTTAAAGCCTCTTAGCTTCCCCTTCCAAGCATTTCCCATCTATTTATGAAATTATAATTTGATATTTCAACATAGTTGTCAATCACGGCTGTCGCTATTGTTGTTGGGCCGGGGCGTGGCAGAGAGGCACAGGTAGTATCTGGGATCTACCTTTTGTTGGCATTATTAATTCGATCGTTAGGTTTTCTTGTCTGCTGCTGCCGTTTTGACATGATGATGGGCTCCCCCTCGGCTTTGAACACACTTCAGCATCAATTTGGACACACAACAGCCCCCGTATTCTGTCGCTTTTTTGTTTAAAAAATATGTGTACATAAAAGAAGAAAAATAAAAAAAAAAATATGCGAACGGGAAAAAAAAGACTTTGTACGGCCCACGCACTTGTCATAATAGATTCGTTTATAATTTTATTTGGTTTGGATTTTTTTTCCAACATTTTTTTTTATGCAGGTTGCCAGCATTAATCGTAAGCGGCTTTTGTGCCCCTGAACGGATTTAAATACTATTCGCATACGGTGGTTGGGTCTTACATACCTCATAAATCCATGGACAGGTTCTGAAATAAAGGAAGAAAAAAATACTATTTAATATTTATGACGTATTTATAGCTTTAAATGGAATTGTATATAGAAATAAGTGATTGAATTTACATAAAATATGGTAAAGGAATTATCTTTTTCATCTAAATATAAACGTTTCCAACTACCTGTTTCTATAAAATCCTCTACGCACAACTGTACCCCATTTGTAATGCCCCGTTTACACCCTAGTAAATTCTATATTTCTTAAAATTAGTTTTCTTATGCTTCTTATAGTGGGCATTTACCAAATCTACTTCAAAACCCAAATTAAGAACCATTACTAAAGTATCCACACTTTCGATTGCATAAATGTTTCCTGCAATAAGATTCTCCACGCACAACTGTACCTCGTTCGTAATGGCACGTTTGCACTTGCATCAAAGCAGTGCATGTGCCAAAAGTGTTGCCTACTTCAGGGCGTTCAAGCATCCTGCTCCTCGTGCTCGTCATGAGGCACAGGCACATTCTAATGAACATATACAAAAATTTCAAGTGTTCCAGACGCGACGATGACGCGACGCTTTTGCCACCTAGCCACGCCTCCCCCCCAAAGGGATAGGCAAAAAAAGCGTCTGCGTTTGAGTCTGTCTAGCCATTGCGAAGATTGCGTTTAAATGCAGGCATTGTTGTCGTTTCGGGTCCCCGTTCCTTGGGCAAACAAGTCTCCGAGGCCCAAGACAATTGAGTCTGAGAGCGTAATTTGCAACTGCCTGAGACCGAGACTGAAGCCGAGACTTGGCCAGGATGCAGGCCAGGCCACGTCTCCCAACTTTGGCAGGATACGGTGCAGCGCAGACACACAAGTGCAGTGCGCGGGCCTAATGAGTGAGAGGGGCCCGGGGACTACATAGCTCCCAGTCAGCCAGGCAGTCAGCCATCATCATCTCATTCCTCCTGCCTTCGAAGGAAAGCCCGGCCCACCCTCGGGCCCTGTGACATGTTGTTTTTGCCCGGCTGCATTTTTGCATCCAAAGGCCGCTGCAGGCGAATGCACCGAAAAAGCAACACGGCTCTGTGTTTGCACAGTAGCCTGCCGCCTTTCGGTTCTCGAGGAGCCTGAGTACGGGAAACCGGCAGTCAGCAGCCAGCAGCCAGAATTCAGAGTCAGAGTAACTCAGAAATTTGCACAGAAAATAAAAATATGAGTTTCATAATTGTAAATAAATTTAAAAAATATTTTTCGGTGTGAGATTTGTATGAAACTATTTTAATTTATATTTATTTGGCAAGAAAATTCATATTAACATTAAAGAAAAATAATTATTGTTAAGGAAAAAGTGTAAAAACTTATTTAATCGTCTTTTAATAATATTTTTCTGGTTGAAATATGTAAAAAACAATATTATTTTATATTTATTTGGCAAGAAAATATATATTAACATTTGAGAAAAATATTTTTTGTTGAGGAAAAAGTATAAAAAAATATGAAATCGGTTTTTAATAATTGGGAAATGTTTAAAATTCCTAATATGACATTATTACATAAAAAAATAAATTTATTAATTTTTATTATATCTAATGATAAATAAATATTCCCAGTTCGTAAGAATTTCTTTCAGTGCATTGATTTAGCTGAGATGGAGCTGTAGCTGTAGCTGAAGCTTGTGCTGCAGTTGCAACCGCTGCAGACATCGTCCTGTGGCATACCCAACAGGCGTTAATAATCATTCTTGTTTTTTGCTTTTTGTGCAAAAAAAAAAAAAAAAAAAAAAAAAAAAAAAAATTATAAAACAAGAAAAATGCAACGAGTGTTTTTTTTTAGCTTTTTTTTGTTGTTTTGTTGGTTGTGGAATTGCTGTACTTGATACCCTAGGAACTATGAATGCTCAGGGGTTACAACATACCGAAAAAGAGTTGCTAAAAAATATTATAAAAATTTTCTTAAATATTAATACCATTCCTAATATTTTTATAATTCTATTTTTTTATTTTGATATATTTAAAAATTATTTATAAATATTCTTTCAAAATAAATTGTACTATTATGTCTAACTAAACAAATTTGAGAAACTTGAAGCTTTAAACTGTTTTCTTGCATTAACAGCTTCACAATTAATTAATATTTTATTTTTATATATTTTCCTTAATTATTTTTATATATTTCATTTTTTTTTGTATATATAAATAATCCCAAAATCTTACTTTATAAGGTATTTGCCAAGTCCCCACTCTTATACAAAAATCCCCTGCTTTACTTTTTTTTCGTTTCAAGTTTATCCTTTTGGGCCTTGGATTTCATTACTTTTTTTTGTGAAACTTTTTCATTTTGTGCAGTCAGACGACGGCTACGACGTCATAGAGAGTGCATTGACTGAAGTCTGCAAAAAAAACGAAAAACAAATCAGAAAATGCAACCGAAACCGAACCGAAACGCTTGGCAAGTGTGTGGTGGCTGCTGCATCTTTTGTTGATATGTAGCGACATGCACACTGCAGTTTTCCCGGAAAATTCACAGGGGAAAAAGCAGAGGTGAGAGTTGCATCCAAAGTTCAGTAGCTGGCAGCTTTTTGTCTCACAGGAAGCGTTTTAGCGGCTAAACTAAAAACAAAAAGTTGTTTGCCATAATTAAGACCTGACTCGAGCTACGGTTTAAGTGTTATTAGTTGCGGCGTTTTCTTTTCTTGTTTGTTCTTTTTTGTGCTCTTTTTTTTTGGCCATTGTTTTTGGCAAGAAGGAAGTACTGGCAAGGAAACGGAGCAGGATGAGGTTTGGAAAGGAAAGGAACTGGCTGCGGAGTCGTTGCACTTGTTAATTGCAGCGCCAGACTTTTACCACCCGCACACGCACTTCACCGCGGCCAAAAGTCAAACAGTTTTGTCCAGGGACCACCTGCTTCGAATACACTGAGAATATTTTATTAAAATAAATTATTTATTTATATTTTTAATTTGCTTATAATTTCAATAATACTATCATTAAAATTATTATTTTGAAAGTTTTTATATAAATTCGTTGGGAAATAAATGTTTTTAGTTAAAAATATAAATAAATAAATATTATTCTAAATATTTTAAAATGGATATATATTTAAATTATTATATTATTATAATTAAAAAGTTTTTAAAACTCAAAAACCCAGTTAGTTTTTTTGTTTCACCGCCTGACCATGGACTGGTTTTGGCCACGTAAATCATTAAATGCCGAATAGCCGACAGAGAAAACATTTTTGGGCGAAATTTCAGGCACCAGTGAAGCCTGAAACAAAGGAATACATTTAATAGGAGTATTTCCCTTTTTTATATACACATTTTGTTCGCTTGAAAAACTTCCCCAGGAGCGGAAAGTCAAGGCAAGGATGGCGCAGGAAACTTGCAGCGGGCGACTGGTTTTTATATATACTTTTTTATTTTTTAATTTTTTTTATCCCAACCCGACTTTGGCTTTGGCTTCGGCGGTTATTAGTCCGCGGCTGCACGCGAATTTGCTTTATTTTGTTGTCGCCGTTGTTGCCTTATTTCTGTTGCCGGCCAAAATCCAATTAGCTGCTCAAAAAGTTTTGCAAATGCGCGCAGAAAATTTAATTAATGTTGACACAAGTTGAGGCCAAAAACTGAACGGAATTGAATTTGCTTTGGCGATGATGAGAGGAGAAAGCGATGGAAAAAAAAGTGCACATAATGCTGATCCCTGTGACTTTTAGCCAATTGAACTCTGAAGTTTGCATTGGAAATTATGATTATTTATGGGGTTTTTTCTGATGATTTGAACTTTTAATTGGAAATATTCATTAAACTTTTTATTTAAATTTAAATAGAATTTTTATTTACAGTATTTCCAACATTTTGCTAACCATTTTGTGCGGCAAACATAAAGAACATGTACCCCATCTACTTGTTAGCCAGGTCACCTGTCATTTTGGCCAACAACAAACCCCCCATTAGGCCTGGGATGAGCACAGGCCAAGCCAATAACTCAAACCAGCTACAAATGTTAACCAGACCTCACCTCTGGACAACAAAAAAAAAGTAAAGAAAAGAAACAACTAAACCAAAAAAATGGAGCATTGCCAGGTGCGGGAATTTCAATTGGAGTGTTCCCCCTCTTCTTGGCCATTTCCCAGCGGCCGCAGCTTTTCAAGCGTTAAAACATAAAAATGTCATTAACACTCAACAGATTTTTTCGCTACGCCAACGGCCAAAAGCAACTATGGCCAACAACAAACGGCTTAAATGGCCAATAACAAATTGTTGCAAATGTTTGCTGCAAAGAGCTCTCAGTACGAAAAATAACAAAAAACAAAAAATAATGGCAAAGAATTGAGGCACTGCGAGGAATATTTTAACTAAAAATATTGCAAAAATATTACTAAAGTTTACAAAATATTTTAGTTTATATATTCTACAAGTAAAATTTCTAAAGAAATTATAAAAGAAGTCTAGGAATAATTTTTTAGTTAGAAAATAGCTTAAGTTCTAGTATACCAATTAGCTTTTTCATAAATTAAATAACAATATTTTCTTTTTAAATTTTCCCTCTTACAGAAAAAGTCTCTCCCCTTTTTCCTTAGTGCTTCCCAATCCCAGTTTCTTTTTAGTATTTTTTCCAAGTGCTTTATTTTATTTTATTTGCCGACTGTTTAGGTGTAGACTTAAATTTATTTGACGCTCAAAAACCCGGAGTTGCAGACAAGAAAATGACACAGAAACCGAGTTAAGACACTGGAACGCGTTTAGGCCGAACCTCGGTCTCGGTCTCGGTGGGATCTCGGAGGTCGTTTATAGGGTGGCTTATGGGGGGCGGTTCTGGGTATCATTTACGCCATAATTTTTCGCCAGCGAAATATTTTCCTTAATGGTTTTTAATGAGCGGGTTGCCTGATGGTGGAAGGTGTTGAGAAATACGCCTGATTTATAGAATCTGTAGTCTGTATTTAACGGCGGCCCGAATCGCAACGACCTAGCTGAGATTTTTTGGGCGTTCCAAGGCAACCTACATAGACTCAGGCCGGAGGGAGGAGGAGGCAGTTTCTCTATTG